GAGCCCGACCAGGGGCTCCCACCCGGGAGCAGGCCTAAGCCAGCAGGTCGTTATCTCCCGAGGGGTCCCAGACTGCGAGAGGACACAGGCAGGGCTGAGGGACTCCCCCTGCCCCCTGAGTGCACAAATTTTTGTGCACCAGGCCTCTAGTATATATATATATATATATCCTATATAACTTTTGACCATATGCATATGGTATTTTTAAACTAAAAGAAAATAAGGCAAAGATTGCAAAGAAACAGAAATAGGCCAACAGGCATAACGGAGGACAAACTGAGGTTCGAGAACTTGAAGGTTCACTTACGGCTGAACAGCCTTACCTGACACTTAGCACCACAGTATTTGGCAACTCGGCACTGAGAGCATCGCATCAACTTTTCCTTCCTGTGAAAATAAATAAATTCCACATGAGGAAATGAGAACAATATCTGGTTGAAGAAAGGAAACGTAAAGCAACATATGGATGCCAGCGTGGTCTGCTCACTCCATCTGGTTGGTCCCTTAGGATTTGGATTTTTGCATTGATGAACATCTTTCACCTTCAATGTGAGACACGTACATAAGAATGTTCTTTTTTTATTGTGATAGAGTATATGTAACATAAAATTTACCACTTTAACCATTTTAAAATACATACTTCAGTGTGTTTAAAAGATAATTCAAAGGCCAAAATGGAGTCATTTAAGCTAGCCCCATCAAATGGAGACTTAACTCAATTACAGTTTCAGCTCCCCCAGAAATGGAATCTTTAACCAGTCAGTTAGGGGCCTCCAGAGCAGCACAAGTTGGTCATCTTCCTGACAAACCCCTGCCATTGCTTAGATCAGGGGTGGGAAACGTCTGGCCTGAGGGCCTTGTAAGACCCGAGAAATCATTTGGTCCTGCCAAGGCTCTAGGGCAGTGATGGCGAACCTTTTGAGCTCGGCGTATCAGCATTCTGAAAAATCCTAACTTAACTCTGGTGCTGTGTCACATATAGAAATTTTTTGATATTTGCAACCATAGTAAAACAAAGATTTATATTTTTGATATTTATTTTATATATTTAAATGCCATTTAATAAAGAAAAATCAACCAAAAAAATGAGTTCGCGTGTCACCTCTGACACACGTGTCATAGGTTCGCCATCACTGCTCTAGGGTGAGTTAATTAACTGTTTGATCAAATATCGCAGGCTAATTTTTAAGTTGATAATTCGGTGTGGCCCACAAATGATGTTATAAATATCCAAATACCCTTGGCAGAAAAAAGGTGCCTCACCCCCAGATTAGACCAACCATGAGCCTTTGAGCAATTACCGCTTTTCTCTTTGGGGCAATAGCATCTTGGTAAGGTTTCCGTGCAGAGAAAACACTTTGGCAGCAGTGAGAGAGGAACGGAAGTAGCAGAAATAGAGCACCAGACAGTCCCTAAGAACACTGTTACTTTTTAAAATTTTAAAAGATCAACTTATCAATTCCAAATGAAAGACAAACCCACTTTTCTTTAAAAAAAAAAAAAAATCAGGCCGAAACCGGTTTGGCTCAGTGGATAGAGCCTCAGCCTGCAGCCTGAAGGGTCCCAGGTTCGATTCCGGTCAAGGGCATGTACCTGGGTTGCGGGCACATCCCTAGTAGATGTGCAGGAGGCAGCTGATCGATGTTTCTCTCTCATCGATGTTCTAACTCTCTCTATCTCTCTCCCTTCCTCTCTGTAAAAAATCAATAATATATTTTTGAACATTTGGTTGTCAATGGTGTACTCTTTCTACTTTTTAAAAAAGGTTTGCTGGCCTAGCCAGCGTGGTTCAGTGGTTGAGGGGTGACCTATGAACCAGGAGGTCACAGTTCGATTCCTTTCAGGGCACA